AATCCACCACAGTTTGGAAATTATTTTACCCTTTTACAGAAATAATAACAGTATCCACTTCATAAATTTGCAATAATCAAATGATTTAACATAGCAAGGAGCTTATTATAGTGCCTGGACGCTGTAACGGCTATATAAATGCTTATTATCATTACTAGGTTTATACCAAAAGTGTAGATAACAAAAACAAAAATAGACAAATGTATTACATCACACTTAAAAGCCTCTACAACAAAGCAAACGACTAACAAAACAAAAAGGCAACCTACAGAATGGGAGAAAATATTTGCAAACCATATATCTGATAATGGGTTAATTTCTAAAATATACAAGGAGCTCCTACAACTCAATAGCAAACAATAAGAACACCACCACCACAAATAACCCAATTAAAAAGTGGGCAAAGGACTTTAATTAACATTTCTCCAAAGAAGACATATAAATGCAACAAGTATAGGGAAAAGATACTCAAGATCATCAATTATCAAGGAAATGCAAATCAAAACTACAATGAGGTATCATCTCACTCCTGTTAGGTAGCTAATATTAAAAAAAAAAAAAGATGCCAATTGTTGATGAGGTGTAGGGAAATCAGAACACTTGTATATTGATGAGAATGAAAAATAGTATAGCAGCCATGGAAAACAGTATGGAGATTCTGCAAGAAATTAAAAATGGAGCTACCATATGATCCAGCAATCCCACTTCTGGGTATATATATACACCCACTTCTGGGTATATATATTGAGAATTGAAATCCACTCATCTCTTTGAGATGGCTGCACTCCTGTGTTCATTGCAGCATTATTCACAATGGCCAAGATATGGAAACAACCCAAGCGTCCACTGACAGATAAATGGATAAAGAAAATGTGGTATACACATGCAATGGAATGCCATTCAGCCTTTAAAAAGAAGGAAATCCTGCCTTTTGCAACAACATGCATACACCTGGAAGACATTATGCTAAGTGAAATAAGCTGGTCACAGAAGAACAAAAATTGCACGATTTCACTTACACGAGGTACCTAAAATAGTAAAACTCAGAAGCAGAGAATATGACAGTGGTTGCCAAGGGTTGGAGTGGGGGTGAAAATGAGGAGATGCTCTCACTGCGTAGACAGTTCCAGTGGTGCTAAATGAATAAGTTCTAGAAATCTGCTGTACAACATGGTGACTGTAGGTGACTATATGGTCACGTGCACTTCAAGATTTGTTAAAAGGATAGGTCTCACGTTAAATTAAGTGTTCCTCGTGCACAGGCACACACACACACACACACACGCACACACACACACACACACACAGGGACACAAGGAAACTCTGGGAGGTTTGGATATGTCCATTCCTTGATTATGGTGATGGTATTACAGGTGTTTGTATATGTTCAACCTTGAAGGCGTTCTCACTGGCTAAATCTAGGCCAGACTTAGCATCAAAACAATAATGATGATAAGAGATACAATCCACTGAGCAAAATAAGAATCCATAAGTCCATACTGATATAAATAAATAAATAATCAAGGAATCAACAGATAAATATGAGGGAAGGAAAAGCACTTCTTTTTCTTTTTAAAAATACTTTATATTTTATTTAGCTAACATGCAGTGTAATATTGGTTTCAGGAGTAGAATTTAGTGACCCATCACTTACATAACACCCACTGTTCATCATAATAGTGCCCTCCTTGACGCCCATCACCCATTCAGGCCATCCCCTCCTCCCTCCCTCCATCAACCCTAGTTGTTCTCCATAGTTAAAAGTCTCTCTCTTTTTTTAAAGTTTATTTATTTATTGAGACAGAGAGAGAGAGAGAGAGAGAGAGAGAGAGAGCGAGGGTGTGTGTGTGTGTGTGAGCAGGGGAGGAGAAGAGGGAGAGGGAGAGAAAGAATCCCAAGCAGGCTCCATGTTGTCAGCCCAATGTAAGGCTGGATCCCATGAACTGTGAACCTGAGCCGAAACCAAGAATCAGCCACTTAATTGACTGAGCCACCCCAGTGGCCCTCTAGTTAAGAGTCTCTTATGGTTTGCTTCCCTCTTTCTTTTTTTCCTTCTTCTATATTCATCTGTTTGGTTTCTTAAATTCCACATATGAGTGAAATCATATGGTATGCGTACTTCTCTGACTGACTTATTTCACTTAGCATTCATTATACTCTCTAGTTCCATCCATGTCATTACAAACGGCAAGATTTCATTCTTTTTGATGGTTGAGTAATATTCCATCGTATGTGTACCACACCTTCTTTATCCATTCATCAATCGACAGACATTTGGGCTCTTTCCATAGTTTGGCTATTGTTGATAATGCTGCTATAAACCCCGAGGTGCATGTACCTCTTTGAATCTGTATTTTTGTATCCTTTGGGTAAATACCCAACAGTGGAATTGCTGGGTCCTAGGGTAGTGCTATTTTTAACTTTTCGAGGAACCTCCATACCGTTTTCCAGAGTGACTATACAGGAAAAGCCCCTCCCTAAAGCGTGATGCAGAATCAGTGAGGGTGGGATCGTGGAAATAGAAAATTGCCATTTGGCAACCATCACAGCGGTGTTTGATTCAGACTGGTGTCGGCAATGGAGGCTCAGGCTGGTGGGCAGAGGTTAGATGAGGATCAGGATATGGGCGTCATACATATTACTGCTAGATTTCAAAGGGGAAAATGGTGACTTTAAGACGGAGAAGTTGGCGACGTGATCAGAGAGTCCACCAGTGTCGAGACAGATGGACGCCAAGTGGTGTAATGCGTTGATGGGAGTGGGGAATCACTTCCGCGGTATTCCTGCCAGGAGAGCCCGATCTGGCTCTGCCGAGAAGAAACGCGAGACCGCTTAGGTTGAGCGACATCCGAGAGAATATAAAGCCTGTATTCTTTCAGACGGTCTAGGACGCGCAAGTCGGGAAGACGGAGGAACTGTGGCAGATATAGAATACTCCAGAGACCCGACAAGCAAATGCAGTGCCCGGTTCTTGTTGGCAACCTGGACCAGAGAGGAAAGAGATGTTGTCTGGACACCTGGTGGCATCTGAATGGAGTTTGTGGATTGGGTGATGATATTGTATCCATGCAGACTTTCTGATTTGCAGGGTTGTAGGGTGTTTATGCGGAGAATGTCCTCGTTTGGGGGAAATACACACTGGGGTATTTGCGAGCAATACAACGTCGTGTCTGCAGTTCAGTTTCAAACGGTTCTGAAAAAGACTTAGTAAGAATGGGTATACATAAACACAGATAAATAAATCAGCATACACACACATAAAAGGGGAAAATGCACTGAAATATTGCAAGGAGGGAATCTGGGTGAAGGGACATGAAACAAGAATTCTTTGCAGTGTGCTTAAAACTTGGCAGGAAGTTTGAAATGATATCAAAACAAATTAGTTTTTCTTAATGCAGGAAAAAAAAGAGTAAACCTAATCGTCATTTTTCCCCAAGGCCATTTCAGCTCCCTGAGACAAGGGGTCTGTCATGTACTTCTGTGGTCTCCCTTGACACGTTGCAAGCCACACAGGGAGTCTTCGATTTGCTGGCAGGCAGGCCACGGCATAAACGTACAGAGCTGCTCCTCACATGTAACATGACTGACCAGTTAGCGATTACACTTGCCTTCACACACCACTGTTGGGTCTACCTTGAGTGCCATCCGGAGCAATCATCTCGAGTGAGGGAAGGAATCGGTGGTGAGTACTGGAGAATCCCATAGATGTTCTGCCTCACTCATTGGCTGGTCTCCCGGCCTTGCAAGCGTTTGCTGACCGTCTGTGGTCGGGAACTAGGCTGCCATTCACTTTGATGGTCTAGATAGAATTTTGCTGATTTGGGTCTGATTCCGCGTGCTCTTCCGGATTCGGTGACGTTTAACTTTGGTGTTGTCGGTTTTGATCAACCAGTGTATTCTTTTGGGTTTTCAGTTAACAAAACACACACTTAGAGTTCCAACGGCACCTTCATCATTGAAATTTCTGAATAATAATTTTGTTATACGAGTCTGAAATTCTCTGACTTCTCAGCCCTTTTGTTCCTTTGAAAGAATTGTTTATGCAGCATGAGTGTTTAATGTTTCTTTTCTAAAGAGTATAGCGCTAGGCTCTCCGGAATATTCCGGAACCCAGACTGAGAGTTGGAAGGGGATTTAGAGGTTGTCCAGTGCACAGTGTCCAATCCAGACTGGAGAATGACTTCTATGCCATGGACCCAAGGGCTGCAGCTAAGGAGGAAAGAGTGGGCAGAGACAGGACCCAAGCCACAGGTGTTTCTCCCCTCAGCAGAAATGACAGCAAACATTTCCCTTGCTCGGCTATAGCCAGAGTCAGAAAGCACTGATCCACCCAATCTCCCAGCCCAAGCAGGAGTTCTACCAAACAGTCGTGAGGAGGCCCCAGCCTCTGCATAAACCCTTCCAGTGATAGGGACCTCAAAACGCTCCTGTTGAAGCTCTCCGATCTAATACTCAACAGAGGTCATGGCATTTGCTCCTTCTCTCCCCTCCTTACCCTGTACCTCACCCTGTCTTCTAATTCTCTGCACACCCACCCGGCAGGGCCAGATCCAGAAGGCACATTTCTGAGGCAGCTCGGTGGGGTGGGAGAGGTGCCCAGCTGCCCCCCAAGGGTTGCTGTGGCTGTCGCTTGCCTATAGTCTCTTTGACAGCTTTGTGCTCCGCGCTATAAATAAATGATTGTGAATGCTTATCTGCTTCCCTCTGTGTGCTTTTCAAGTTATTTTTGGGTGACAGGCCTCTTCGGTGTTAGGTGGGGGCCTGCATTATTGAAGACCATGCGTGCCTTGTCAAAGGGAAATAAGGTCAGCGTGCACGTGGGGAGGCTGGGCTGGGCGGACAGTCGATTTGGGCTTGTCTGAGGTTCACAGCACCATTCACGTCCTCTTGCTGAAGGGTCCCAGGCAGACCACGGGGCCCCCGACACAGTCCAACTGCTCCCCACAGACTACCTTGGGTTCAGGCTCCACTCGTCACGTTAACTCTGCATCCACAGGCTCTAGTCCCTTAAAACAAGGCACATGGAATTTGCACAGGATCCTGGAAGAGGAGTCGGGATTCTTGGGCAACTATCCAGGCCTGCGGCTTCCTGGTTGGATGGCCTTGGGTGAGTCACTACTTCTCTGTGTCTCAGTATTTTTATCCATGAAATGACACTGCTGATCACTGCCCTGCCTGCTTAGAGGGCTGGAATGTGGGTTTTCATTTCCCTACTATGGTCAGCTCTGGCTGCTGAGGTCCCAGAAACATGGCCAGGGCTCAGAACATTCCTCGGCTCCCCTCCCTGGGAGGCCCTTGGAGGCCAGCAGCCAGGGCCTCAGGGACTTTTCTAGCGTGGCAAACCAAGCTGTATTCTTTTGACCTCAAGCGTCCATGCAAGAAACTCAAAAAGAGAAACCCCGCTTTACTAGGGCTTCACTTAGATCCAAACTCGGAGGAGGCGTGAGACGGAGCTGTCCTCCTCCAGCCCTTCCCCCTCCTCCCTCTGGAGCCTCTCAGCGCCCGCGGGCCTCTGACCACCGACTTTCCTCAGAGCTTGCCTTCTGTTCCGGAGGAAACCTCCTCAGCCCCTTCCTCTTTCTCACTGTCCTGTGCCACCACCCCCAGGCCTGCCCCTCCAACCATCAGCGCATCTGTCCCTCAAATCCCTGTACCCCTTCCTCCACATTTCCAGGCCTCCAGCACCTGTGGTCAGACCTTAACCCTGCAGACCTTAAACCTTTACACTACTGGGTCTGAAGACCATCTGCATCTATTGTGGTTTTCTGAGTCTTAATGAGAAGGAATCGATTCACCAACTGGAGGGGTTTTTGTAAAGCACAGCACCAACGTGTCTGAATACTTCAGGAAATGCCCGTTGCCTTAGGAATCCTTCCTCCTTATTTTCAGGAATTTCTTCTACCTGCGTCTGTCCCTGCCGGGTCACGCTCCTCACGGGACTTGTTGGGCTCTGGCTCCAGGCCTTCTAAGCCTGAACACTTGACTGTCTTCAGGATCCCTACTTCTGCGGCTCCCACAGGACAGCCTCTGGATTCCCCTGGCAGGACTCCCTGTTCCCAGCCAGCCGTGGCTCCTTCGTCACTCAGTCGCCAGCCACTGCCCCACCTTCCCTGCCCCTCTGCCCCCCATTGCTCCAGCCCAGTTCATTATCTGGACCTTTTCTGCTTTTCACCCTCCACTGATTTGCAGCAGGTTCCAATTAATAATTTTAAACGGTCACCAATTTTCCCTGAGCCTCAGGCAATAATGGAGATTTAGGTCTAAATGAAAATTTGCTAATTTAGAAACATTTGCCCACTAATCGCTGCTGAAGCCCTACGACTTGGCAGGCTTGTAACTCACCGCTGTCCCTTTCCTGGTCTGATCTCTCTGTCTCTGGAGGGGTTAACTCAGTGCTTCTCAATCCAGGTGATTTTGCCTCCAGGGGATGTTAGACAATGACTGGACACACTGGGTTGTTACTACTTGGGGAGGGGAAATGCTACTGGCCTTAGTGGGTAGAGGCCTGGGATACAGCTAAACATCCCACAATGCACAGGAAAAGTCCCCACAACAGAGAATTCTCTGGCTCAAAATGTCAATTATGCTGAGGCTGAGAAACCCGAATATAGAACGTTCCTGGGCTTCTCCCCCAGAAACCTTTCCTTGCACAGTCCTGCATTCTCTAGAGCAGGACTCGAAGGTTTTGTTTCTTACTTACAAGTGCAAAATTATCTTCTTAGTTGTTCGAGATCTGTTTTCTTTGTTTATTTTAATGGATCCAATACTCAAACTCAGAAGATTTTGCCAGGAAATCTGTATTCACAGCTTGTGCTGGAAGATGGGGGATCTTTTCACACTGGTCTCCAGTTCCCAGGTGGCAACATCCAGTGGGAGGTAGCAGCTCCCCATAGCCTTGTACATGGGGCATTACCTATCTGGTCACCAGTCTCCGCCATTCCCTGTTGCTGTTTGACCTTGAGTATCAGTTGCCACTTATTACCATGCTTGCTCTGCTGTTTTCTCATAGCAGAGAAACACATGTGTTCCAATCCTGAACCAAAAGTGCGAAAATCGCAGGTAGACTGGGTTGTACCCACATCCGTCTCTCATTTTTATCGTCTATTTTGTTTCTGGGCATTTGACTGTGCACTTCTAGCTCCAGATGGCTCCTGCTGAGCATGGGAGTGACCCTTGACTCCTGTAGAGTCCCTCCCAGGCCCAGCCCTGCAGATTCACAAGAGGCCAGCAGGGTGAGTGGAAGGTAATTCTCGTGTTCCTTTTAAGCTTCCTGCTGGGAGGTGGGGCTCCTGTGGATTGGGGTTCCCAGTAGATCCACATCAAACACTCCCCATGGAGCTCTAGAGAGAGCTGCAGAGCAGGCCTCGGTCACTCAGCCCGAGGGAGCCCTATCCCCACCCCATTTTTCCTAACACAGCATTGGTGAATTGGTCCACGAGCTAAGGCAGGCTTGCTGCCTGCTTTGTCAATAAAGTTTTATTGGTGGACAGTCATTGCCATTCACTCACCTGTTGTCTGTGGCTGCTTTCCTGCTACACTGGCAGAACTGAGTAGTTTTGCCAGAGACTGTATGGCTCACAAAGCCTAACATAATTTACCACCTGTTTCTTCGCAGAAAAAGTTTGCAGACCCCTGTCCTGACATAGAAGTTCCTGTCAGTTATATACACTTTGCAGTTTACAAAGCACTTCTTTTTTTATATATATAATGTAATTGTATTACTTATTTTTTTAATTTACATCCAAGTTAGTTGACATATAGGGTAATAATGATTTCAGGAATCAAATTTAGTGATTTATCACTTACATACAACACCCAATGCTCATCCCAACAAGCATCCTCCTTAATGCCCCTTGCCCACTTAGCCCATCCCCCACCCAACACCCCGCCAGCAACCCTCAGTTTGTTCTCTGTATTTAAGAGTCTCTTATGGTTTGTCTCCCTCTCTGTTTTTACCTTATTTTTGACAAAACACTTCTTTTGATCCTCCTAACAACTTCATGTTGTGGTCAGGGAAAAGATTATAGAAAGTGTAAACAAACATTTTTGAGCAGCTGCTGGGGGCCAGGTACTGAGCTCCCGTCTTTCACATGCATTTGCTCACGGCAGCCTTGGGAAGTAATGACTTTAACTTTACAGAAGCTCAGAGAGGTTAAGGGACGGGCCCACGTTCACCCTCGAGTCCACCTGGCTCCCTGCCAGGCCTCTCTGCTCTCCAGCTTGCTCTGATGCAGCAGTCTCGACCCTTGGCTGCGTGTGGTGGAGGTCTATCACCACGGCACAGCGGTGGAACCCCTCTGCCCACACCCCCGGCACAATCGCTAGAGTTACAGCCTCTCCTCCCCCAGGCCTCGCACTGGTGAGTCACTAGGAGTAGAGAAGTGTTGTATTAAGGGTCAGTCCACCCTGCTTCGTTCTTGCCCCCTCTTCCCAAATTGCCCAAGGATGGATGCCCCATGAACTGCTGGGCAAATTCTTCCCCGGGTACCTGACAGCTACCATCCTTGACCAGCATTGCCAGAGGGAAACAGAGGCTGTGCATGCCCAGCCTAGCTCATCCTGACCCTGACCACTGGAGATGCCAGGATGAAAGGGCCAGGGACGTGGGGAGAGATTAGAAAGGAAGACAAAGGGAGGGGGTCTGAACTGAGAAGAGCACGGCCCGGTGGCCGCAATGGGGACAAGGGCCAAGGAATCAGGGCAAACAGAAAGCAACTGTGTATTTCACTGCAAACGGCCTGCCGGCCTGTGAAGGGTAATAGATGGGAAGTTCCACGGGGCTGTAATCCAGTCCGATAGGACAGGCCACACAGAACCCACACACCTCTGTGGAGTAATTTGTGCCACATTAACTCTGTGCACTTGGGCCTCCATGTGCAACCATGTGTGTCTTGACATCCGTGTTTTGTGTGAGCAAACAGGGCTGGCCAAACCCACGGGACCTCTGGATGGTTTCACGCATGGGAAATGATGGGAGGTGCCGGGAAGAAGTGCTGACCCCAAAACATCTGGGCCTGCCATGAAGCCTGATGTCCTCCTCTTTTAGATTCCTATCCTGCTCTGCTACAGTAACCGGCACCCGACAGATGCTCCGTAAACATTAACTTGAACCCATCCTTTCAACTGGGTGAGATATCTTGTGTACATATCTGCGTCTATACATATCTACATACATACATATGTATGCAGAGATTCTATTAAATGTAAAGTCCAGTACAAATGTTACCTATGTTTTCCATTATCGTTATCCATGTATTCAATACAAATTGAGTGCCCACTGCATTAGTTGCTTTCCTTTTTTAACTCGCAGAAGAGGTTGGTGTGAGAGAACAGTAAACAAGCTGGCTGTACGTGCAACAGCCTCGGCCGTGTGGCTGTCAGAGAGGAGGCGAGGTAGGTGGGGCTGTGGAAGGAGCCAGGCTGGCAGCTTGGACTTGACCTCAGAGGCATTCAGGACAGGCCGTGGCCCCTTAAGCACAAGGACAAAGTGGGGGGTTGGAAGTCAGCCTGGCATTGGCATCACGGAGTCCTCAGGTGGGGGATCTAGTTGGGAGGCAGGTGCCGCTGGTCGTGATCACGGTCATTACCTAAACACCCCGCCGCTCTGGAGCACTGGCCGCATAGCACAGAGATCTCCTTATCTCATGGAATCTTCCCGGCAACCTGAGAGATTTATATGTCCCCCTTTTCCAGTAACAAAACCGAGGCTCAGAGCTATGGGGTTGCAGAGGTGCTATGATGTGACAACAGGCCTGGAGGGCAGGGAATACCTAGCAGGACTCTGCAGCAAGGTTTGAAGCAGACCAGGTGGACGGTGGCTGCCTGAGGCCGTGCAGCTCAAGGGCCCAGAAAATGAGAATATAGTGGGGCCTGTCCCCAAGCTTTGGGCCTCAGAGGCCCCTACTGGAGGACAGACAGGGCCAGTTGCCTTCCCCTAGCAGGAGGAGACCAACTCCCAGAGTGCACAATGGCTTCCACTGTTGAGTCAGGGCATCCGAGGGGCCCCCGTGTCCAGTGAGGTTGTGATTCAGCAAGAAAGCAAGTCACTTCCTTCCTTGCCGACTGGTAGCAAGGCCATGGGCTGCTCTTCAGCCTGAGGTTCCCCTTGAAGACTGTGTAAGCCCGCTCCTATCCTCCTTTCCCGCAACAAATTTCTCGCCGCAGACTTTTTATACCATGATGATGAAGGCCAGGTGTGGTGAAAAGACACCTCTGTGCTTCCGGAGAAAGTTGTCTCCCAGCTCATTCTCCCTCTGGCAACATGCCAGCCTTTTACTCACTGGGCCTGGGAAACCAAACATGATATAAAACAAAATAAAATGACACAGCTTCATTATCTGCCGGAGAAAGATGATTAAGCCGGTCTACTTTGTGTCCTGATGGGCTATCTCTGCACTGTGTGTCCAATGTTGCTTTCCTTCTGGATCAGGACGACAGTATGAACTGTCTGTGGGTTAATTGGTTTCTTGGAAGGTTTATTCATTTCTTCCTCTCCCCCTCTGAAGGCAAAGAACATTTCACAGAGTCAAAATGCTCAGCTTCTATTTTATGTGTCCAGAACATAACATGCATCAACCAGACATCCTGTCACAGCCAGTGAGCAGTGAGGTGGGATGCCTTCCCCTCCTCCCAGAGCCTTGTTGCCAACACAGTCAGTGGGGCCCCCAACGGGCCGGGTGTGGACGACCGCCCCTCGGTGGGTCTGCTCCATGGTTTCCCCTTGGCTCCTGGGAGAAGCTGGACAGAGTTAACAGTGAGCTTGCCCTCGCCTTTCCTATCCATATCCCATCCATACCCAACAGTGTCTTAGGGCTTGACAAGACACCACACCCAGGAAGCCACCCTGGATTACCTGCACAATCATTATGATTGCAGAGTCGGTGCAAACCCCCTTCTTCTGTCACCGTGCTAACCACAGGCTTCTGACACCTGATGATTAAGGTCCAGGGCTAGAGAGGAACATGCCTTTTGCTTTCTAAGATCAGAGGTGCTTATATATATGTCTCGTTTCTTTTCTTGGTTTGTTTGCTTGACTATTAAGGTTATTCTTTTTGATTGTTTTTGAGCCATTCGGCAGGTGTGTTTTTCTGGCCCCCAACTGTATTGCCAATGCCTCTGAGGCAGAAACCACACCTAATTATCTGCGGTGTCCAAGACCCCATAATATCCTCAGCACTCGCTGGAGTGGCAGATGATTCTAGGAAGCCGGGCGGCGGCAGGTGGGGTGCCAGGCCATGGCTCCGGAGCAGGCTGCTGGGGGCAAATGCGGACCAGGCAGCTCATTTCACCCCCTCATTGCCTCCCTTTGCACGTCTGTAAAATGGAGACCGTAATGCCAACCTTGTTGGGTCCTTGTGAGGATTAAGTACCTGGTAGAGGGACTGGCATGTGGTAAACACTGACCACAGGCCTCCGGGGCTCTTGAGATCCTGTAAACACACAGCACCATGCTCCCTTATGCTGGGCCTCTTGCTTCCTTTCTGGATACCCCACATCTGGCTTGGCCAGTGAGGGACAAGGCTGGAGAGGACACACAACAGGCCAAGCAGGGTTCCCACCACGGCTTGTACCTTTTGTATCCCTTCCCAGCACCGAGAGGGAACCTCACTCACAGACCTGGAATAAGGCCTGGAGAGATCTAGGACCTCTGATTTGTTCCCAGACTCCCAGCTAAGCCTGGAAAGTCCCCACCCAATGGCTGGTGTTTACATTTCTGTTCTTCCCTCCCCTGGGTGCTCCTGAAACGGATCTGTTTTTCTCCCCAAAGCCCACCCCTGCCAGGGCCCCCGAAAGCTTCATCAACTGAAAAGAAAAGAACCATGACTCAGCAATGGGGGCCCTGGAACCTGATTGAAATCCCTGACAGATATTTATGGCAAAAACATCTCTCTTTATATAACAATTTAATCAGGCCGAGGTGTGGTAAGCAGGGAGGCACCCATTAAGCCCGGCTGTTAATGCAGCCAAATCCTCTCCTGCTGATGGATGTGGCATAGGCATGGCTGGTCGTTAGAAATTAAAGCGGAACCGAAATCCATTTGCTGCCTGGTGGCGTGGAGCACTGTTGTTACAGCTTAACACAAGCCATCTCTTGTGCGCTGTGAGGCCGACACACGGAAAGCCGCCTCCTGCCCCTGCGCCAGCTGTAATTCAGAGAGAGCGTCACTTTCATGTGCTTTCTCCACGGCCACGGACAATTGACCTTAGAGACACTTGATTTTCCTGGAGCCACAGGTTGGAAGAGGCAGGAAGAAGAGGAGAGAGAGGGAGCAGGTGAGGAAGACAGAGACAAGCCTCTTCTGGGGATGAAAGAAAAGACTGTGCCTTTGAAAAAGAAGGCAAGCTCTTCCCACCCCCTGTGCTTGGAATAACTTTCCACTCAATACTGCACAGTGGTCTCCTCTCTTCCATCAAAGCCACCCTAATACTCCTTCTCTGTGTGTTTTTTATGTCATTGTTGTCCTAATGGCAAGGTGATGCCAGCAGAAGGAGAGGGACATGGCTCGGTCGGACCTCGGGAGCAGGCATAGTTCCAGGACTCGGTGGTGTGTGCATCCTGGGCCGGGAACCGGCTCATCCAGCTCGAGGGTAGCGCCTTGGTCTATCCTGATGGATGCCTGTGCCTGGTATAAATGCAGGTGTTCTGGGACTCAGGCTTCACTGTATCCTGAGCACATTCCCTGCCTCGAGAAAACCCAGCGGGTGGCTTATTTTTGTCTTTGTGTCACTAGTCACTGGCATAATGTCGAGCGCTTAGTTGGTGACTACCCAAGGTTTATTTTGTGGCTGAATGAATGAACAAATGAATCAAGCAGAATTTTCAGGGTTGGTTATTTCCTCTAAGATTCCTCTCTTCTAAGCATCCCTCTTGGGTCCTCCCAAATGCTCAGAGCCTCTAATACACTTAAAATACAATTTGACTGAATTTGCCCGTCTCTCCCCCTCAACACAATCAGATTTATATGTAACTTTATAGAGCAGCCCTATTTCATAAAGGAGGGATGGGCTTTTGCACTTAAGTTCTTGATGGAATCTCAACATTTAGAAGCACAGACAGTATGTCGCCCATCTGTATGTACAGGTTCTGCAGTAGAGAGAGGGAGTGCATGATCCCTCTAGTCCTAAGTGCAGGGGTGCTAACTGGAGGGCAGACTTTTACAGCAATGACCCGATGCCTGGCTTTATCCCTGAGCTTCGGCATGGGGCCAAGAAGCCTCTAGGAGCAAAAGCGAAAACAGAAAGAGAAGGCTGTCAGCATCTCTCTCCCTGCTGGAGAATCAAACGTCCATCCTAAGAGTCTCTTAGGCTAGGATCCACTCATTAAACCAGACGCCACTCTATCATTTGCAAGCAATTCATTAGTCTAAACGGGTCTGAATGTCATCCCCATCTAAGGATTCGTCAGACAATTAATTAGAGCACAAAGCTAGAAGGAAAAAAAAAATCCAGTTCACGAGACCAAGTAACATTCTCATTCATGATAGTCAACTTTCCTCTAGGTTTCTGAAATGCAGAAGGAGGGTCAATGGTAGCAGGTGCCAATCCGGAGATGTATTGGAGGAGATTTTGCGATGTGCTGGGTTTTGGCTTGCCCACCTGACTGCTTCTCTGCTGTGAGCTGCTCCAAAAGATTCATGGTGCTGAGCCTTGAGTGGTGACTTTGGCTCCCAAGGATCTGAGAGCTGCATGTTGGAGAAAAACAGACATCAAGCACCACGGCACCAAGAAGAGGCTGGCCCTTGCGTACTAGACGCAGGTGGTGAGCTGGGGCAGCCTGGGGCACTTCGAGCCGGAGGATCAGGGAACTCAGGAGGAGATGGCTTTGAGCCAGGTCTCATACTTCTGCAGGCTGCTGCACACCACACAGGAGCCAGAGGGACGGTGGCTGGGGCTGCCAGCTCTGTGTCCAGAGTCAAACCCCCAAGATCATCTCTGCCTTCCTTCCTGGAAGAGCTTGCCCCACACCAAAACACTCAGCCTTTTGGTTCTCTCTGAAAGGACCACAGCAGGAGGCCCCTGAGGGACTCACAACCGGGAGCATGGAATTATTCTCAGACAATGCGTGATCAACTTACATTTATGATAGGTTTCACACACACACACACACACACACACACACACACTCATTGAATTATTTTACTTCCTATCATACTTCATATCACATCTTAAGGTAATGTAGGTCAAAATATGTTTGGTTGTGTTTTTCTCTGGGCTTTTAGAGAGTTGTGTGCCGTAGGAATTTCTAAACTGCTATAATGTCATTTATCAAAGGCAGGTGAGGTCGGGACATGCTGGAGAAACATCTTTCTACTTTGTTTTTTTGCTGAGACCCCCCCCCCCCCACCTCAAAGACTCTAGAAGATGTCACCTCCTAGCTTACCTGGTCAGCCTTCACCAGCCCAGTACTGGAGA